TTCAGCATCCTCTAATAACCCAGCAATGACTTGTACTAACACAACATGTTGCTTTTCAATGAATACTACATATCGTCTGCATTACTCTTAAGTAATCTAATAACCGAGGTTCGAACTCCCTAATGACTTATTTAAGTACTTACTTGTAATTGTCAATGTAAGTTTTTGCTGGGAATCTGATATCATCCAACTTATTGGATGAAAATCTAATTAAACGATGACCAGTTAATTTAATATCAAAGTCCTTAGAACACTTTTGTCTTTGAATCAAATCCAGACCATAAAGCATAAGACACTTTGGTGTCCAACTTACTCTTCCAGAACCGATTTAGAGTGCCGCGGAATGTATCAGAGATCACAATATAGTTATAACAAGTGGAACGTAGTCTTTTTCTACAACAGCGTGAGCTAGAGGCTACTCACCATAGCCCCTCTCTGTGACTTGTAAAGAACACGCTAGTGGCGATTTTGTATATGGTTTCGCCAGTCCATATACAAACATTTTATTCGAATACTTGAGCTTTCTAATCTCTGACCATCGCTCACACGTTGCTTAACTTCCGAGATTCGAAAACATCACTTTCGTTTACAATCACGCAAATGCAATGGTCTCTGTTGATTCGACAACAACACCTAGAGACGTAATGGGTAGACCTATATACGAATCCTTGAAATAAGGCAAAGACAAGTTCTTCAACCCAGTACATTTTTCATTTCGATACATTCATTCTAGGTATACAGGTTGAGTGAGGTCCGTATACCTCTTCATTCATTCACTTAACATCAACTGATTCCCAACATTTAGCCACACAGTCAGACTTATGTGGGGTGGCAACACCACCGAACTATTCACCTTACATCATTCATTTAACCAACATTCTCTTTCCGCATTTTGGGTCTATCCACCGGAAAAAGACAAAGTCCAAAACTATGTGCAGAGGGCTACCAGTTCCCGTGGTACCAGCTAAGTCTTCTGGCCCGAGCCAAGGAAAGAAAAGACCGAGGATACATTTGGCGCCACCAGTTTATAGTCCAGGCAGACTAGAGGTACTGGTAGCAAGACTTTTACCCCGAGAATGCAATCACACCAAGATATGAAAAGTTCAACAAGGTGTCATCCACCTCCAGTTATAGTACTGATAGCACCTCTTTTATCCCGGAATTGTAATCACTCTGAGATATGGAAAGTTGATCTACCGAAATTGTGACTTTTTCTTAAAAGAGCAAATTTTCAAGAATCGGAGGAAAGCCTTAAAGCCAATATAGAGACCACTTCTTTCCGAAGTACATAACAGTTAATTGTGTGGAATTTTATTGCGATAATAATTCAATTTCGGTTTATGTCATGATATTTTCGGAAGCTTATAACTTCTACGTAAATTGCAATCTGTAATTTGATTACAAGGTTTTTGTGGAAGAATCGGCGGACTGGAACTCTGACAGTCATTCTGGGCGGTATATAATATTCCTTTATAATTGCTCCATTGGCATTAGATTAACTAATCACAGTCCTTATAAAAATACCAATGTTTAAGTATTATAGCTGCGTGTTTAAAATGCATTTCAAATTGTATGTAAATTTTTGTTATAATTTTTTTTTTTTTCATTCGTTGTTGCCTTTAGTTCTTTAGATTATAAGTATTACAAGTGTTTTTTATGTCTGTTACAACTGTCTAAAATTGAATTATATTTATGTATGAATTTGTGGTTCTTTTTCATACTTTTCTTTTCTGTTTTTAATTTCTAGTTTCTTTATTATATGAACATACAAACACACACACACACACACTTGACTGCTTCTGAAAGGTGTAGTGTATTGTATCTGTGTTTAATTGTTTATAATTGAATTATTAGGAAGTGAAAATATAATATTGTTTTATAAGTGTTATTGTTTCGAATGGTTGGCTGTCTTATTGGATTTTTTTGTTTTCTTTTTTTGTAAATTGATTTTGACATTGCTCATGAACTTTTAGGTCATAAAATGTAACAATGAATAAGAAACTAACAAGACACAGTAGATACATATTGTAAATTTTAAGTTATCTAAACATACATAACCAAAAGTCAATTGAATTTCACAACTTTTAAATTGTTTTTAATATAACAATTTTTACATTTCTAGTTGTTCTATATATATATTTTATTTATTTTTTGTTTTTCTATTAAATTTTGTATGAAATCAATGTTTGTTATTAGTCATCCGACCACTATCATCGCCGCCTACACACACACAAAAAAAAAACAGTCAACTGAATTTTTTTGTTTGTAATTCTAAAAGAGAGAGTTGTTTGTTGTTGTTTTTTTTTATTGCAAAAACTACAACGACAAGAACAAATTAATTTTTGTAAAGCTTCTTTTTTTATTGTCAATACATTTTATAGTATAAAGTTATTCTTATTATCCCTTAAGGGTAAAAAATATCACATACAATTTCGTCAAGAAATCTACAGTTTAGTTGAAAGTAGAAGTTTTTTTAGAAGATGATGTCCGTTGAATTCTAGAAAATTTTCTTCAAATTATACAATATTTTTGTAATAGAATTATAGAGTATATGTAAACGGCTACTTAATATTATTGGTGTAGGTGGATTGTATCTTACATCAGAGTTGTAAAATTATCTTTAAGAAAAAGATGGGGTTTCCTTTAGCAACTTTTATTTAAAATCTTGTTAAGTATACAGCTTTTTTTATTCTTAAATAAAAACTAGCTTTTTTCGAAAAATTTTGCTCAAATTCTAAAATTTGTAATAAATTCCTTTTTAAGAAATATTTTAAAAATTTTCTTTAAATACAGAATTATTGATATATGAATTTTCTTTCTATGGATACGTTTTTATAACTTTATAATAGAAAATTTTTTGTGAATTTTTTTTTACGCAGACATTTTATAGTGAAAAATGCTCTAATTAATGAATACTAAACACAATTGGAAAATTTCAGCACAATAGTTCAACAATCGGGCATACATCTGAGAATCTTAAAAAGCTCGATAATATACAGGGTGAATTAATCACTGGTATCTTTTAAAATCATTTTTCGATTTGAAATATTGTCACACTTACTCGGACTAAAAGGATCACTTTACACGCAAACAGCTTTTCAATAGTTTATTGCAAATTTATGACTGTTGTGTGTAAAATATTCGTGAGTCAGGTTTCCTTGTATTCAACTGTAATAAACCCCGATTTGGCACGAAATTTGTACCAACGGGCAGCATTGCCTACTTTTAAAGGCTGAAGTATAAGATGAAAACTTGGCAAATTTTTGGTTTATATTGTAAGTTGTTCCCTCGGGGACAAGTAAGCTTGATGAAAGACCTCATCTTGATGTCATTGCAATCCCGGAGAAAAGAGGTGCTATTAGTACTTTTAGTCTGCCGGGACTATAACTACTGATGATTAAATGTATCCTCTGCCTTTCCTTGGAATGATTTGACATGGGGTGGAACCAGAGCACCACGCAATCTGGTACCACGGAAAACGGTAGCAAGTTTGGTGCTGATAACCCACAGACAACAGATACCCCATAGAGGAGAGACTGTGGGAATAAGCTTTGGAAAAGAGTTGGTGTTAAGTTTATATGATACGGTATGGATGTAGGGTATATGGAACTTACGCATTCGTTTACTAAGAGTGAATGTGTCGGGTGTTGTTCTCTAAGAGTGTGTCAAATTAATGAAAATTATCTGGTTTGAATGGTCATGGATGAAAGGTATCTTATACACGTGATATTAGTGCTGTAGCCGACTCAATCCATCCCATCTGCGTGGTTGTAAACGGAAGTGATGGGTTTGCATCTCGGAAGTTAAGCAACGGGCGGCAATGGTCAGAGATTAGATAGCTCGAGTACTTGAGCAAAGTGTTTGTACATGGACCGGCAGAACCAAAAGTCGTCAAACTCTTCCAGCACATCCCAACCACTCCATTTTTTCATGGAAAACTATCGAGCGCATTGCTAGGCGTCACAGCGTCAATCCCAACACTATGGAGCTTCCAGAAATAGTCTATATTGTAGGACAAAAGTCTTCTGGTGCGGCGAAATTGTATTGATTATCCCGCCAAAATAGAATTAGATAAGGTGAGGTGCGAAATCTGAGGAGGAGCCTTCAAATTTTCTTTCTCAACAGCCGACAACTTAACGTCCCAAATTGTCAACGTTAATATACCTTTTTTGTAAACATTTCGATGTTGTAGGAAGTTCTTCCCTGGTGAAAAATATATACATATATATATATATGTATATATGAGTTGACTATCTTTAGCCGATTGGGATCGAAAATTCTATTGTTATGGGAACGTTATTAGATCATTTAATGAGTTTTCTAAAAATCCACTGATAAGGACTAATGAACATAGAATCAACGACGGAGCCTTAAATGGGGGTAACATTCATTACAAATTTCTGAGAGTCTATTGGAAGATTTTGTCGTCTCCAAAACGTCATCTAGATGATGTCAAAAAAGCTGCAGACTTTTTCTTTAAAAGCCACACATTTAAGTCTAATATAGTCAAAGGCAGTGATATAGAACCAGAATAGTATTGGATAATTAGACTGAATGGATAATCTTCTGTAACCATGTGTCAACCATATTAATGTAATTGTGTTTTATAAATAATAAAAATATTTCCTTTTACGAATAAACCTCTAATTTACCGAAATAAAGTTCACTTCCATTTATCTCATTTAACTTTACTCGTGAATCACCTTTGTGAGAAGGGTATTTATAAATTTGTCATTCCGTTTGTAATTTCCACAATATAATTTTCCTATCCTATAAAGTATTGTGGATCCTTATAGATAGCGGAGTCGATTAAGTTATGTCGGTCTGTCTGCCTGCTAAAATCAATTTTCTCCCTCTATTTGGAGAATTTCCCCTAAACTTCCTCTTTTAACAGAATTTTTGAAAAATTTCTTATTTATAGAAAATTTTTCATATTTATTATTTCACTTTTACCAAATTATAAGCTTTCAACTAATTTTACCATTTCCTCTCTTTTGCAGATAACACCAAAGATATAATCGGTAAGTTTATTTATCATACTTTACAATTGGTACAACTTACATACAAAATAGTATTTTACAAAATACTTAAAAATATATTTGTATAACCTCTAAATCTTAACATAGTTTACATCTCAATGCATTCACAGAGCAAAAAATCTTTTGCCAAATAAATATACCCAAGAAGTATGTTATAATACTTTTTAAAAGCACTTTAAAAGGAAACCCGCATTAAGAAAATGTCACAACTACAATAAACTGCATACATACTTAAAAATACATCAAATGTAAAAATGTTTCTAATCTTTAAAGTCATAAAATGTAGGACAAACATTTCACATGAAAAGAATAATAATATTGCGAATGTCAGCTTTTATCAGGAAATTATTGTGAAAAACAAAACATAAAAGAAACTACTTATTTTAATCGTTATTAAATGGAATCAAATGTAAAAACATGCTATAAATTTGAAAAGAATAACTTCCCTTTTATAGTTCTTATATAACTATACTTAATTATAGTAATCGTTTGATAGAGAAAATCTCTAAAAATGTTTTTCTCATATTAACTTTTTCATAGAAATTGATAAGAAAATGGATTTTCTTAATAAGGATTTACATGTATATAAATAATATTTTGCTCAAATAATTTTGGCATAAATAGTTTTTTTCTTCTATTTTAAAGTTTTTCAACCGAAAAATTTAACACCGTACGCGACAGGTCAATGAATTTGGTATTTTTGTATTGATTTAATGAACTATTTCTATTGCAGTTGTTGTTATTGTTGTTAAATATAAACAACTAAACATGAATAAACAAAAACAAAACAATAGATACATTCTTCACAAACACTTGAACTATAAAGATAAACAAACAAACACATGTATATGAATAGAACAATAAAAAATGAAGTGTATTTTTTACATACAAAATTGTATCTGTGAGACATTTTGAAAAAAAAATATTTTTATCAAAACGAATTTGAGTTAAATATTTGCTTTCAATATTCATTATAATTTTGACACCTGATAATTTCCTGATCGAAATTTAAATGTAATAGAAGTAGAAAAATAGCTTCTACCTAAAACAAAAACAAAAAAATCGCATAAATTTACTTTATTTGCCTCAACATTAGTCTAAAACTGTAATTATATTTTCTCTAAATTGTTCAGATGATTTCAGAAATCAGGTACGAATCGAGCTCAAATCGAGCCGTCTATATTGTAGTACCCCCAATATGCTAACCTCAAGAATAAAATCACTTATTTGATTTCACAGAGAACTATAAAATGTTCTTCATTATGCACAGTGGGACATAATCACATTTTTGGAAATTATTCTGGTTCGACCGAAATTTCTGGTTCGATCAGGACCAGGCGTAATTAAGGAGTATATCAGTTAAATTTTGAAAATAGACCCCATAACTTCTCCAGGAGCGGTGAAATGGGGGCTCAAATTACCTTTAACATGTATATTTTTTAAGCTGGTGTCAATTCTTTGTTTTCCATCCGATTTTAAAAATTTTATTTTTTGAAAGTGCTCAGAAAGATTATGATACATGCTTACGCGTGCTAATTATCTCGTATAATTTTCAAGTCATAGTCATTTTAAAATTTAATCATCTTTCCATACCTTGGCCAACTTCTCTTTAAAATATCGGACGTAATTTTATTCCAATATCTTTAGTGGATTAAAAAAAACGATTTTGAATTTGAAAGTACTATCCAATACGAATAACATTGTTTAATACCGATCGGAAGACATCGGTTACAAAAGTTAGGTTACTTGCCATGAAATCTCGCATATTTTAGTCGATTTATTGACAATAAATCTGAATGTTAGTACAGAAATTTCTGTTCAATGTTCGCCATACTTTGCGGTACAATTTCTCGTTTTATAAAATTAACTTGTGCTGTCACGATCACCGTTTAATCTACATATTAACATGTAAAAGCATTGTTGTTGTTGCTTTTTCCTGACAAACCATGCAAAAAAAACTCAGAGGTTGTATAGGTTTTTTCACATACAATGCAATATATATTTTTGGAAAGGTGGTTAATTAGCAATTTTTATTTTTGCCTATACATCGAAATTTTGAGATAAAGTGGTTTTCATTTACCATCCCAGCAAAAAATCTGAAATTTTGGTAATATCCAGTAGTTATTTCATACATTACTTGGTAATGAGTGTTCATTATCATCCACATTATTTCATTTAGCTGAATAGGTTATTACTGGTAAAGAACAAAACAATTTGGATTTTTTATGGCTCAATTGTCTAGGTCGTTCATTTAACAAACAGGGGGTTCGTGGTTCGAGCTCTGCTGGAACCACATAGTTCATTTCTTACATTCTCATTTATACTTTTTTCGAAAAACTCTTGGAAATGTGAGTGATAAAAATGGCATCTATTCACCAAGATTAAAGATCACTGCAACGGAATTTTTAATATTTTTGAAACAGGAATCCTTTGTTAGAGTGTTTAGAGAAAGACCAGTCAAATTTTGTATGTAAAATATAACTGCAACTCTAAATATTAAATTTTTTCCCTACTAACCATTTTTTAGCATTTTCCTTCTCTATGAATAATTCAAAAATTTCACGTCCTAAATTTTTTTAAATATTTTTTTTGGACTTAGATACCCAAAATAAAGTTATCCATATAGGATTTATATCATGAACAGATCGTTGTAAACTAGTCTTATTGATTGTTTCACAGTCAAAAAAAGATCTTCCAAAGAAGCGAAAAAGAAGTAGAATTTACTCCATGGAAGTACTGACCTGAATAAGTAAGAAAAGACCTGAATATGTTATGATTTTAACACGGGCTTGTCATAGGAAGGATGTCCTTTTTATTTGATTGCAAATTCACTACTTCTGAAGTCATTCTCAAGAAGTAATTTGTATGCTCTTTTTTTTGGAAGTTATTTGGAAGTGAAATTATAGTATTATGGAATACAACTAATTTTACTTGAATAATATTAACATTAATAAGGGTAATAACTTTGGAAGTACTTCGTTTTATTTTTGCTGGGTTTATTTTCAAATATCGATTTCTTTTTTAATTTAAATTTTAATTGAAATGATTTTTTAATAAATCCAAACTTCCATCCATCCAAACGATTTGAATCATTTGATTAATAACTTAAGTCTGATCTTGTCTTAATACCGCTGTATTTAAATGATTTATTGATGAAAATTCTCTTATAAAGTTGTTATGAGATTTCTAGAACGAATTATGAACTGTTTCTCATATATATATCATACATATTTGTATGAATGTTAAATATAGCTATAGATGAACCGATTTTAATCATACCCAATTCATCAGTGGATTTGATTACAAGGTTTAGCAAGGTATTATAGAACCAAATTAGAACTAATTCCTAGGGAATTGGTATATCTTTAGATGGGTGTAGGTTCAATATTTGTGTATTACAAACACTATCATATTTACACATATAAATTTAAAATAAGATCGCAAATATAAATTCCTTAAATGTTATTAATTCAGATTACTGAAGGAGATATTTTCCAAGGGTATACCCTTGGAAAATATCTTGATTTTACGAATTTCGTGATAGGTCCTATTTTAGTAAAAAAAATACTTGGCTTTATGAATTTTTTGTTTGATTTTGAAATCCATTTTTGTCTGTGTAATTACTCAGCCTCTTCAAACTGACATATAATCTGATTTGTAAGTACTTATTTTAGGATTTTGTCAGTTTGTGTTAACAACTGTTTTATAAGCATTTCCATGCGAGAGTTGTAATGACTTATTTAACTCCCTATTTGTAAGCGTGTGTGGTTACAAATAGGGAGTCAAATTATTGATTTCTGCTGAAATGCCAATGTGTAAGTAGCATTTTAACTGAATTTAAGTCTATGTTGGGAGATTTGTATTTTTTGGGTTAGTAAAAGATTTGTGCCTTTTTAGAGTGTCTATACATATATGTATGTATGTAGTTAAACATCAGCAAAAATCTCTTCATTTACGGAAGTTTCAATTTTATATTCGCAAACACTATAACCACTTTTCATAGCCTATTTTCCTAGTAAAAGCACATTGAACTGTCTGATAACAACTTACTTTATAATGCTGATACATTGAAAAATAAACCAAAAGCAAATTGAACAAATAAGAAAGTATAGTCGGGCGTGACTGACCATATGATACCCTACACCAGTTATGAATATTAAATGTGATTTGTTTTTCATAATTAAGCATTTATATTAAATATTACCTTGTTCCGATACATTTGAGCAATTTATGGATGAAAAACTAATTTTCTGAAAAAGGCTTTATATGGGGGGCTAAGGGCATATATGGACCAAACCCGATAAAGTTTTGTGAATGTATTTATATTTATATAATATTTATTTAATATTTATTTGTGCTGAATTTCATCGCGATATTTGTGTTTATAAGTTCATTTTGGTCATTGAAGCAATTTTCTGAAGGGGACTTTGTATGGGAGCTAGGGTCAAATGAGGCCCGATCTTTATGAAATTTGGCGAGGTCATCAAGTATATTTAACTAATTATGAGTTCAGAAGACCTTTTCGGGGGGTTCTGTTGTATAGGCTTCGTCCTTGGGCCGAAAAAAAGCATGTGTGCCAAATTTCATCCAATTATCTTGAAAATTGCGACCTGTACCTTGTGCACAAAGTTTACATGGACTGCCAGCCAACCAGCCAGACGGACGGACGGACATAGCTTAATCGACTCAGAAAACGATTCTAAGCCGATTGGTATACTTTTATAGGGCGAATATTTTCGTATGTTACAAACATCAGCACAAACCCAATATACCCTCCCCACTCAAATGGTGTAGGGTATAAATAGATATACCTAGTATAAGTATTTGTTAAAATATCGGAAAAATTTTTGTGAATTATTCACACATGTAATAATTATTTTAAGATTTAATATTTACTTTTAGAAAATATATGTATTTTTTCCTTGCACTTTCTAAAGGGTCACTAGCATTTTAATTCACATAAACTTAAAAACAATAGAAACCCACTTAATTTTAATTTCGAGGGGGTTGTAAAATGTTCTATTTATTTATTTTTTTCCTTTTTCTATTGTGTATGTGTTGAATGATTTTATTTCTTTTATATATGTATGTGTGAGTGTGCGTGCATGTGTGTTAGAATATCTGTGTGAGTTCAAACAATTAAAATCAGCTGTGTTGGGGATACAACGACCTGTCAAGTTATAACAAAAACAACAACCAAATTAAAGTAAGGAAATACGAATACGAAGTAAAATAAAAATAACAACAAAAATTCTTGTTTTTTCACTTTATCTTGTTCTTATTCTATATGAGAGAGAATAGTATTTGTAATAAAACAAAATTTAACGAAACTTTGTTGATGATTTCCTTTTTGATTTTACTTTTTGTTGTGTTTTTTTTTCTATTAACATATACACCACATGGTAAATTTCTCCCAGAAAACAAAAAGAGAGCTAGAATGAAAACCAAAAGAAACCCGAGTATTTGACAATGTAAAGTGAAAAAATACAATATGATAAATGCAAAACACCGCTAACGAATACACCATATATACAATTATAAGGATAAAGGAATGCACTAATCAAGTGTTTCTTTCTAGCACGAATTTCTAAGGATATTTGGAATCGAAAAAGGATCAAAGAAAACTGGGAATAACTTGACAAGAATAGAAATAAACGCACTTTTTTTAGATTATTAAGCATTTAAGAATTTAATTTTTTTTTATCAATTCTTAATTATTTTAAATGTTTATAGTAAATAAAATATTAAAAATTTTGACACACACACATATAGAGGGAGCGAGTTATACAAATACACTTACAAACTTTTGCATAGCTATACATATGTGTACAACATACATACATATACACGCATGATTATGTTCAAGGAAAATTTGACCGAATTTTTCCGTTTCTTGTGTTCGTTTAACTAACGACCACGATTGTGTTGGTTACGGCGACGATATGTCGTTTATATGTAAAAATAAAAAAAGATTTTTCTGCTTGTTTTTTTTTTCTTCTATTTTTTCTAAAGGGAATGGGTCCTTTTTTCAAATTCTGGGCATCAAGAATTCTTAATTACTGATTTATATTACACACTCTAAATAAGTTTAATAAAAACTTTATAAAATATTTGTTTTTTAATTAACTAAAATTTTTTAACATTTAACATTATTTAACTTTGTTTGAAATGTTTTAATTTTCATACACTTTCAGCACTTTTCATTTCATGTTTAAAGCCAGAAAAAAATGGTTGCCCCTAAAATTAGGTTAAACTTTACTTGAGATATTTTCTTTCATTTCGGGGCTTTTAACCTTAATTCTCTACTTAAACCCGGGTATTTGTTGTAATTCTTTTTAGGTATTTATTTAGTTGTAATTTTAAAATCGAGATTTTTCTTCTTCATTTGGGGAAAAAAATTAAATTTTCACACTTGCTCCACTTTTTTCTTCATTATTATTTTTTTTTAGAATTTCATGTAGGTATAAGGATTTTGCCTCAACCTCAGTTTAGACCGCGCACACCCGCTCTTGTTCACTTTTCATAGATTCACTTGTATCAGCACCAGCCCCCTGACCCAAAAACCTGCATACATGTGTATTGAATTTTCCGTAAGCATAGAAAAGAAAAAATTTGTCTTCACAATTCTTTTCACATCACGCTGTTACGTTTTCCCAAAACGAAACACTTTTTTCAAATCAACTTTTAACACTCGAAATCCATGTTTTTCTTGATAATTTTCATACAACTAGTTTCATTACTCTAAATACTTTGATTTTTTCACAATTTTTAATTAATTTATTAGGATTTTACCAATTTATTTTCAATTTTTCACAGAGCTTCTAACGATTTAAGTCTAACCATTTGGGGAAAAAATTCAACGAACCTTACACTTAAACTTGGTCACAATGTATTTTACAGCTTTAAAACACCAATACATTCACACGCAACGACCAAAATTTTCACTTCATTTTCCCTGTATGGGTGACGATTTCAGGTTAGAAATGTCAAAACGAAAAGAAATGTCCATAGACTACCAGAGAGTAAAAATAAATTGGCGATGGCAAAGAGTAAATAAGAAAAATATATGAATTTAACACATTTTGGGGGTTGTATAGTTGTCTTTTTTACGAGGCCTATAGTCGTTTCGCATGTGGTCGAAAAACAACCCCCTCTTCATTCACACGTACACAAAAATTCAATGTATATGTAAATGTACTTAAATGAAGTTATGTATTGTTGTTGTTGGATTGGTTGTATTCCCTCTTAAAGCACAATAATAACTTTTTTGTAATTGTCAAAATAAAAGCTTTCGTAAATACAACTGTGAGCTGTCAACATTTGTTAGAGCAAAATTTATAACTGAAATATTTAATGAGTAATTATTAACATTGAGTTTTTTTATGGCCTTTTAATTAGCATATATGTAGCTTTTTTGTAGTTTTGTTTTGTTTTGTTTTGGTTTTTTTTTTTTTTTTTTTGAAAAAGTAACCTTTCCACCTAAAGGTTTTTGTCCATACTAAAGCTTTTTTCAAGGGTTGTTTTTATTTTTAGGAAGCTTAATTTAATGTACAAATATTAGATTTGTAGCACAAATTTGCTTCTATATTCAACAGGTGTTTTCTGGTACTGACCCCAGTAGTTGTCTGGAAGTCAATGTATCCTTTATAAACAATTTTGCCAAATATCTTAATACCTGTTCTTAATTTTTTTGGTTATTTGTTTATTTATATTCATTGTCATACCCATAATATGCTATAGACTGTACTATAGACTGCATTATAGACTTGTCTATAGACTATATGCTAGATTATAGACTAGACTATAGATTAAAGTATAAACTATACACTAGACTATAGACAATACTGTAGACTATACTATAGACTACACTATAGCCTAGACTATAACCTAGACTATAGCCTAGACTATAGACTAGACTATAGACTAGACTATAGACTAGACTAGACTAGACTAGACTACTATAGACTGGACTATAGACTAGACTATAGACTAGATTATAGACTAGACTATAGACTAGACTATAGACTAGACTATAGACTAGACTATAGACTAAACTATAGGCTAGACTATAGACTAGACTATATCCTAGACTATAGACTAGACTATAGACTAAAATATAGACTATACACTAGACTAGACTATAGACAATACTGTAGACTATACTATAGACTACACTATAGCCTAGACTATAGCCTAGACTATAGACTAGACTATAGACTAGACTATAGACTAGACTATAGACTGTACTATAGACTAGACTATAGACTAGACTATAGACTAGTCTATAGACTAGACTATAGACTAGACTATAGACTGACTATCGACTAGACTATAGACTAGACTATAGACTAGACTATAGACTGGACTATAGACTAGACTATAGACTAGACTATAGACTAGACTATCGACTAGACTATAGACTAGACTATAGACTAGACTATAGACTGGACTATAGACTAGACTATAGACTAGACTATAGACTAGACTATAGACTAGACTATAGACTAGACTATAGACAAGACTATTGACTAGACTATTGACTAGACTATTGACTAGACTATTGACTAGACTATAGACTAGACTATAGGCTAGACTATAGACTAGACTATAGCCTAGACTATAGACTAGACTATAGCCTAGACTATAGACTAGACTATAGACTAGACTATAGACTAGACTATAGACTAGACTATAGACTAGACTGTAGACTAGACTATAGACTAGACTATAGACTAGACTATAGACTAGACTATAGACTAGACTATAGACTAGACTATAGACTAGACTATAGACTAGACTATAGACTAGACTATAGACTAGACTATAGACTAGACTATAGACTAGACTAGACTATAGACTAGACTATAGACTAGACTATATACTAGACAATAGACTAGACTATAGACTAGATTATAGACTAGATTATAGACTAGATTATAGACTAGACTATAGACTAGACTATAGACTAGACTATAGACTAGACTATAGACTAGACTATAGACTATAGGCTTTACTATAGACTAGATTATAGACTAGACTATAGACTAGATTATAGACTAGACTATAGACTTGACTATAGACTTGACTATAGACTAGACTATACACCATATATTTTAGAGTATTTTTTTTTTTTTTTTTGTTAGAATTTCTTTCAACCGATCTACCTAAAGTTTAACTTTATATCTATTAATATGCAATTGTGAAAATATTTCCTAAATATAAAGAAAACTAGTCAAAATTTAGTTGTATATTATTAGCATTAAAATCTATATACTCACATGATATCCCCCAATTTCAGTCTAGTTTGTATAAGAGCACAACTTTTGTGATCACTAGTAGTAACGGCTCGTCGACGTCTGGGTGGTATTTTCGGTATATACGGAGAATTCATACCTCCACTACCACCCTCACCACCAATGCTGCCATCTATGCTGCCAGCATTTACTACAGTGCCGCTCAAGCGCACCATTGGTGATGAACCACGTCGACGATTCGACATGTGTCGACCTGCTACACCGCCCAGCATGCTGCAACAAAAAAAATATATTTTGTTAAAAAATAAATCATTTTAAAGAAATCTATTGAAAACAATATAAATTTAAATATATTTACAACATTACGCCTGTTGTAATTGATTTATCTTTTGTAAGTGTGTAACTATTCATATACAGTTGTTAGTAGTATAAAATAGCTTTAAGTCATGTGGCTGTTGCAAGTATGTAAAATTACATTAACTGTTGCTTTTGTTTTTATATAAGTTTAAGTGGCAATTATCTTTGTACTTGTAAAATTGTAATTGTAAAGTTGTTAGTTTTTTATATATGTACATATGTATATGATATTATTTCAAGTATAGGCATAAGTGTACTACACTGTTTTGTATTAAAGTTTTTCCACATAATTTCAGTAAAAAGCAATAAACAATTTAATTACAACGATTTATTGCAACAACAACAGTAATATAAAGTTTAAAAAATATATAAACGAGTTTTTATTACCTTTAGCAATAATACATCGAATAATAGTCAAACTAACCATTAAATAATCATGTGTTTTTCAAAGACATAAAGAGTTTATCCCTTTTTTAATTAAATTTAAGGATTTTATTGAATTTTATTTTTAAGTTTTAAAATCTTTCTTTTTGGATGACTAAACATCCAAGGAAAAAATATTAAGAATTTTTTTAAATGAATAACAACAAAACAACAAGTAATTTAATGCATTATGTTGTAAATGTTTTCTTTGATTTATTTTTGAAACTTTTAGCCACTGGCGTCATGTATTTTCTTCAAAAGAAGACATTTTGGGCTATTACTTAGTTATAAAGTTTTGTAAATAAAAAATTTAATTATTTCAATATTTTCCAAGTTAATTGGAAAAATCCAAAAATTATCACTGAAATAAGCTAGCTGAGGAAAAATAGGGAAAATTCTAAGATCTGCTATAGAATCATAATTAACAAACCAACCAAGAGAATAGATTAAGCTTAATAGAATTGTTTCGCATTTTAAGGCTTTTTGTTATGTATTGTTATAGAATGAAGTGGAAATAGGAAAAATAAATTAAAATTTGTTTGCAAATTTTTTGCTGAAAACTCATATTTTCCATCAGAGATCAGTTTTAAATCAACAACCTAAAATCGGCTCTAAAGCCTTTAATAAATATCTAATCATGAAAATGTTAAAAATGTTTTATAAATCCTTAAATAAAACTCAAATCAAATCAATATTTTCTATCAAATATCGACTTTTGTATAAAAACATAAACTGGCTGTAGATTGTTAAATGACGTTTCAATTGAGAAGCGAATTATGTGATCAGTCACAAAAAAAATTAAATAGGCTGCAAATCCGCACATAAAGCTAGGCTATACTAAAGACTACAATTAGGTTAGGTTCATAGGAGTGTTAGTCAAGAATGTTATTTCCCGAAAAACATTACTTCCAAGATACTTTGATCTAACTTCGACGAATGCCTGACAGTGGCAAAGATAGTGCTCCAGAGTTTCACTGTCCTCTCCACATGCTCTACATTCATCTGAAACCGCACATCCAATTTTGCATAGATATGCTCGTAATCCTGTGTGTTCACTCAAACTACGAACCATCATAATAACTTCAGACTTGCTCATTTTGAGGAGATTTCTCGTATTGCTGCCATCAGGGTCACCCCATAGGATCTTTGTGGTTCTACTCACCGTTTCATAATTTTAGGAGGCCTTATGGGATTCTCTCACCCAATATTTATGTGTAAATACAAAGAAATCTATGGTCACTCTTATTTATCATAAAAACAAGTAGGAAAGTATAGTCGGACATGGCCGACTATATGATATATTTTGAAAATTATTCATTTTAAATAAAGAAACTTTTATGTTGGATTTTACCTTAATTCCGATGTATTTAAGCAATTTGTTGATGAAAAACTAAATTTCTAAAAGAGGCTTTATATGGGAGTTAGGATCAAATATAGGCCTATCCTCAATAAATTGGGAAGAGGGATGTAATTTTATATAAATTTTAGTTATGCTAAATTTCATAGCGATACTAATGGTCATAAGAAAATTTTTGTAGTTAAGTTATTTTTTAAATGGGGTTTTGTATGGGGGTCTAGGGTCAAACGACGGCCGATCGTTATAAAAATTATCACGGTCATTTATGCCTATATAAAACTTGGTTGTGTAAGGTTATATGGGGGCTAGGTGAAAATTCTATCAAAATATCTTGAAAATTGTGGCCTATAGCTTGCACCCAAGGTTTACATAGACAGCCAGCCAGCCGGACAGACGGACGGACGGACATGTCTCAATCGACTCAGACAGTGATGAGTCGATCGGTATACTTTAAGGTGGGTGTAGGACCAATATTTTTATGCGTTACAAATATCTGCACAAACGTATAATACCCTCCCCACTATAGTGGTGTAGGGTATAAATAGAGTTTTATATGAAAACCGACAATTTTTCTGTACCTCCTTACATAACGCTTCAATTGAAAAGTAACGAAAATCTATAGGTTTTGATCAAAAATATATGAACACTGAAAATCGGCTCCATATCAATAATCCCTTGTCCATTCCGTTAAAAAAAATTGTTTTATGTAAAAAATCTTAAATCGGCTATAGATCGATATAAAACGACCATATTTAGAAAATACCAAAAATCTGTGATGACATATAAGTATTTCCGATCAAGTATCTCAAATGGACTCTAGATTCTTAAATAACACTCAAATTAATAACATAAAGAGAATCTATGATGTTGATATATATCAAAATCGATCAAAATATTAATTGGTCGTAAATCCTGTGAAAAAATCTAGTAAAAGTTTCGATAGGAAAATATGATATTCTGTACAGTGTTGAATAAAATTATTTAATTTATTAATATGTATTTCACCCCATTTTATTGTCACAATCAAATTGCAATAAAATATTCATAAAATAGCTATTTATAATTTACATATCTACAGGTGTAAACGCATCAAGCAGTTGTTATCTTAACTTGTCAAATAAGTACATATATATTTTCAAAAAAGGCCTAAAATATTTATTACTAATATAATAATTATGTAAATTATTAAACAAATCAATCAAGAATAATATTTCCCTTTAAGCGTAATAAGAATTTTAGTTTAGTTAATAAAAATTTACACCTTAATAGAACTTTAAACATATTTTCAAGAAAACACACACATATACTATCTATTTAAAATATTAAAAACCTATTTTTAAATAAATTTAATAATATCTTTCATTTAATAACGTATCTATAACTACTTTATTATAAATTTAATTATAAATTATTTCAATTATTTAATTATGGTTTGTCTGGTTATTCAAGCAAACTTTTTTTCTCATTTCTTTTTGGCTTTCTGTGTACATGGGTCTTGCTAAAATATTATTTCTTGTATTTGTTCGTTTCTCATTAATTTTATTCAAGATACTGGTCATTCATTGTTAGTTGAGTTTAGTTTTCAATTTATTTTAATTTTCTTTCTTTTTAATTTTATTATAATTTCATAAATTCATGTATATGTCATTTTTATTAAAAAATAATAAAAATGTCTTCATACTATGTTTAACCGCATGCATAACCCAGGTGTCCATATAATCGAGAGGGTATTATGAAAAAATTTATACATTGTTTTCAGAACAAGAAAATACTTAAATTTGAAATCAAGAAAATATCCTTAAATAACGCTTCAATTGAAAAAAATGGCAAAAGTCTGTGATCTCTCGTGTTTCGTTGTCACTACGCGCAAACAGCGAAGTAGAGGGACTCCGTTCATATTTTTATTACAAATTGATTTTTGCTTGAAGAAGCTAAAATCGACTATATATCATAATTTGATCTAATTGTTAAAATAACAAAAATCGTTGATAACTTCGATTTTTCATTGAAATTTGGATTTTTATATGAAAAACCTCAAATCAGCTTTAGGTCATTTAATAACGAAGTGATAATGGTGATATTCTCAGCAAAAATCGATTTTTATATAAAAAAAAACCTAAAATCGGCTGCAGATCATTAAATAACGCTCCAATTGAGGTAATAGTGAAAACCTGTCACTCATATTTCCCACCATAAATCGATTTATATATATAAAACTAAAATCACCTGTAGATCCTTAAATAACGCTTCATTGAGAAAATTGTGAAAATCTGACAGAAAATCGGGCGTAGATCATTCAATAATGCGCCAAATCCTGAAAATTTGTGATCTCCCATATTTAATACCAAAAATCGATTTTTATATAAAATCGTCTGTAGATCCTCCTGTAACACTTAAAATCAGAAAATAGCAAAATCTCATATTTTCTATTGAAAATTGATTTTGTCACAAAACAATTGTAGATTCTTAAATAATGCTCCAAAAATTTGTTATCATTATACCCTACACCACTATAGTGTGGAGGTCCTACACCCACCTTAAAGTATACCGATCGTCTCAGAATCACTTTCTCAGTCGATTAAGGCATGTCCGTATGTCCGGCTGGCTGGCTGCCCATGTAAACTTTGTGCATAAGCTACAGGCCACAATCTTCAAGATATTTTGATAAAATTTCGACCATACGAGTTTTTCGACACAAGGTCGTTCATTATTTCACCTAGCCCCCATACAACCTGACCTTTCGAATTGGGGTTTTTAACTCATAACTCCGTCAAATATACTACTATCTCTCCAAAAATTAACACAACTAAGTTAAGCATAAATGACCATGCCTATATTTATATGATCGGCCGTCGTTTGATCCTAGCCCCCATACAAACCTCCCTTTAAAAAATATCCTAAACGTCCAAAAAATTCAGCATAGCTAACCTTTACATAAAAATACATCGCTCCTCCCAATTTGTGGAGGATCGGCCCATATTTGACCTCAACTCCCATATAAAGCCTCTTTTAGAAATTTTGTTTTTCATCAACAAATTGCTTGAATACATCAGAATTAAGGTAAACTTCAACATGAAAATTTCTTTATGAAAAATAAATAATTTTTAAAATATACTAAATATCATAAGTCGGCCAA